CTATTGGCTCTCCCTGTTTGCTCGCTCCCTGGGAGCTTGGCTGCTTGCTTCGCAGAGGCGCTAGACCAGCTGGGGCAGTTTGCTCTGATGTACTCTACTTTGCTTGGAGGAACCAGAATGAATCACCCCACCCACTCAACTGCAGTTAGCTGATCAGACCACTCCCCTTCAGTGAATCAGCAATCAGCTGATGCAGAAATTCCCTTCAACTGTCTCTTAGAAAACAATAGACTTTAAGCTGGGCTAGTCCAGGCTGGTCTCTGCTTTGCCTCTGTCTCCTCTTCCACTATAACTCCTCCTCTGCCAAACTCCTGCTGGCTCTCCCTCTTTGCTCACTCAGGTCACTCACTCCCTGCGAGCTTGGCTGCTTATATCCCAGACGCCCTAGACCAGCTGGGACAGCTTGCTCTGCTCTGCTAGAAGTCAGGAACCAGAATGAATCACCCCGGTCACACAACTGCTGCTAGCTGATCAGTCCACTCCCATTCAATTAATCAGCAATCAGCAACCAGCTAATCTGGGAACTTCCCTTCAATTGTATTTTTGGCTGGGTTACTGTAAGCCTGTCTCTGACTTTGCCTCTGCTCCTCTGCAAAACTCCTGTTTTTGCTCCCTATTTGCTCTCTCTGGTCACTCACTCCCTGGGAGCTTATATCCCAGAGGCACTAGAACAGCTGGGGCAGCTTGCTCTGATGTGCTCTGCTCTGCTTGGAGTCAGGAACCAGAATGAATCAAGCAACCTTTGCTTATGTAAGCAACCTTTTTCTATAAGAATTGATCTGAATTTCCCCAACACTGGTCGTCACCTCAGTGCACACTTCCCAACTACTTCATATTGCTGAAGAAAAGCTTGTCTTCTGCAGACTGTACAAACACATTCAGCAACATTTGATAATTGCCAGTTCATCTTCTGAGTGTTTTCTTACCGGCAGTATGGGTATGGCCCCAGTCGAAGTTCCACTGGATCCATATTTTGGTAAAGCAAATCTGAATTCCATGGTAGACAATTATTTCCAGAAACAGTTGTCTTTTCAATGCCCCTGTAATTTGTCCCATTACCAGAATAACATGTCTCACTAGGAACTGGATATATAAAACAGAAGAAATAAACAAATATTGAAGTAACATCTGCTAGAGTTTCATTATCACTTCCCAAATGGTATTTTCACAGAGCTGGTCCAAATATAATCCTCCTGTTTTTGTTAAAACGTAACAAATACATTGAAATTATTGATGGAAAGGACCATCCATTGTGTAGAAGGCAACATAATTCACCTGAAAAAGTGGGAAACAATTCAGAAACCATATTTCATCTACCCCACATTCCCCATCTTCCCTCCTTCCTGCCTTTCCCACCCTCATCACCTACAGCAAAGGAGCAATTCTATGACCTCCTGATGTTGCCCGAGAGGCCATAGGATTCTTTGGACATCCAGCCCCACCCTGCCCCCTCACAGCCAGAGCAGAAAGAAGCATATGAGTTGTTTCACTACTGGGCTTTGGAGGGGGAGAAGCAATATGTTGGGGGAAGGAAGTGGAGGAAGGGAAGGCCACTGACTTATACTGATTCTAAGCAGCATCCCAGCCACCATCCCTCCCACTCCTTGATATTAAATTTCGGTGGCCAAAAATGACCACCTAGAGAAAATACCTGGCACAAGGCATTGTGGATGCTCATAAGCTCACGTGCATCTATCATAGGGGTGATAGGATTGCACCCTAATTCCCTCAATCACTTCTTCCTTCTCTTCAGTACCATTTACTGGGCTGGCACAGCTGGTGGTTGCAGTGGCAGCAGGCCACAGTGAGAAGGAATAACAGTTACATTCCAGGAGCCCTTGGAAAAGCAACATTTTTTAAAGAGGCTATTTGTGTCTTGGTGTACTGCTAGACAATGTGTCACCTTCTTTTCCCTCAGTCTGCAAACTGCTAATCCTGTCGGTACAATGCCAGTGAGGTTTAATGTGGATGGATGGGGAAAAGAAAAAGATTTCAGGGATGGCTGGGCTGGAGGCATAGAGGAGAATCAAATTCTGAGCAGGAGAAGAATTTGTAGTTCCTAATATAGCTGATGTAAGTAGTATGGGATGCATCAAATGAGCTTCTGAGCTTGGTGACATTACTAGGGCAAATCTAACATAATTGGATCCTACTTCATTGTCAATATATGTGAATATTTGAGGCCAAAATATATCATTGTTCCTGCATATCTTCTTAGTGCTGTTATTTTCCTCTTTTGTAAACATTTAATTATGTGGTACTTCTGCTGGACTTTGCAACCAGGTGGCAAGGAGTAAGAACTGCAGCTCCCATTGTGATGAGTGAATTGATGAATGAATGGGTCTATTTTAGGTGAAGAATCTCAGAAAACCTGACGAATGGTAAGGAGCAGGATGGCAATAAAATGAACTCTGAGTTCTGAATGAAAAGCAGAGACATGCTGACCGAGTGCAAGGTCACAATGCTTGGCAGATAGTCCCAAGGATACCTTAGGAAAGCAAGTGATAAGAGCATTCTGGAGGAAGTGCAAGTGAAACAATGAACCCAATGAGATTGGACAGTGAGTTCTGTCCTAAAGAACAAAGAGCTCAGATAAAGTATATAAAGCAGGGACTTTGCAAGTTTAATTGTGCAGACTCATCAGGTCACCCATCACTCCATTTGAGACTGATCAGCTCAAAGTGGGGTTTTGCTGGTGAGTATGTGAGGTTGAATGTTAGTGTGAGTGAGTGAAAGTGATTCTCCCTTGGATTGTAGTAAATAAAAGAGCTCTTAATCTGCAAAACCAGTACTAGCTGTCTGTGTGCCTACTTCTATCTCCACTCTCAAGATTAAAAGAACAAAAGGTCCCTTTGTGACACCATTTGCCTTATCTGCATAATGTGTTGCACAAAATTTTGAGACCCGAGGAGCTGCTATGGTGGTTTCACTCCTACTGTACTGTCCCCCACAGTTGTGTCAATGTTTGCAATTGGGTTTCAGCTTCCTAACCAGGGCTTCATTATTCTCTCAAGATTTTTTCCATTAGAGTATGGAAAAGCCAAATTTTAGGGACTAAACTAGCTGTGCCACAGGAAAGGGGCAATCCAGTTTACCAACACACTCAAAAGTCAGTGTATTCGCATATAGGAATCAAACATTACAAAACTAGGAGCTGTCCATCAAATTCCAAAGTAAACATTTCTTATCACTTCAGAAGTAATCACAAATGATGTTGACATAACTGTGGCCTCAGTGAAAGAGTGAAGGCAAAATTCAGTGAAAAGTTAACGTGCTTTATTTGATTTGTCCCTTTGAGCTGTATGCAGAGGACTATGTATACTCACCAATATTGCAGTATCTTCCTGTAAATGGTTCTTTGCACCCACAGATTGTTAGGTTAGTGAAGAGAATCTTCCTGCAAGAACTGCCATGGAGGCATGGATTGATGATGCAATCTACATGATCAGATTAAAATACATGTGATGCAATTCACAGCTATGATAGCTTTTATCTGTGACAAATATCAGGCATTACAGCTGTAATATAATATAACTCATATATGTTCCATGGGAACATAAAACAACAACAATGACATGGAGGTATTTGCATATATAACCCTTAGGCCCAAAGGGTTATAACTGTATATTTAATGCATTTGTTTATTATTATTTTAATTAAGCTTTTATTTGTCTATGATTGTAAGATCCTCAGACTGGCATTTTCTTGGTGAAAAGGCGGGTAGGAGGAGTTAAGCAAAGAAATGCCTGTGTTTCTCCTCAGTGCCTATTGACTTGATGAGGTGTGCATCGCGAGCAAGGAAAATCTGAACCTGTATAAAAAAATGAACCCACCACATATTGTTCTTGGAGTCTCTGGAGCAGAACTAAAACCACTGTTTTTAAATAACTGCTGTATTCAAACTGGAATAGAAACCCCATAAAGAGCAGTGATGCTCAAAACCCTCTTAGGTTACAAGTTCTAAATGTGACCTTGGATTGGAATTGAAGAAGCCTGATCTATTGGCTCCACCCTAATGAAATAATTACCCACACAAACAACATCCAGGAAAAAATTTATACATGTTTGCCTCCCTCAATATGCAACATGCAGAGTGTGTGATATCACTCACTGACATATCACCCACTGTAGACTAAATTGGCAAATTTATAACCCACTAACTTAAAACTATACAAGAGATTTTCCCCCAAGCTAATGAAGGGGAGACCACTGACCCAGAACATATTTCAAATTCAAATTTCCAAACTGCCAGCTCCAGAAATGTAAGGTGAGTGTTGACTGTTCTCCCCAAAATGTTGCAAAACATGGCCATGAGACTTCAGTGCAAACACATGATGGCTCTAAATCTTATACCTGTCACAGAGCAGTAGGGATGATGCAGCAGTTCAAATTATATAAATTGCCTATATCTACAAGTCTATGTTGGACATTTATTCCTTTCCCTCCCTACCTCCCTCCAAAGAGACAAAAGTTGCTCTTAGTATCACTGGGTGTCTTTTGTTTCACCACTGCCTTTTATGGCTTTTCCTGATGCAACAGCTGAAACAAGTATTCCCAGTTACAAGAAATATTTTGATCCTTCCTTGACTATAATTCTATTTTTGTATGTGCTGTCTAGATTCTAATCTACAGGGATTGTGGCTATGCTTATCTCTTCTCACATTTATGTCTTGGTCTTCTCACAAAACTACTGTAAAAAGTATCTGACAGCCCCTAGAGCAGTTATAGATGGGAAGCTGGCAGATGTGTAACTTAAACCCAAATGGTCATTTACTTAGAATATGTAAACAGCAGTTACCGCTTCCTTCCTTCCTTCCTTCCTTCCTTCCTTCCTTCCTTCCTTCCTTCTTTATTCTAGAATAAATGCCCCCAGACTGGAAATGTTCAGTATATTTTCTAATCCCCAAGAAAGGAGATACAAAATACTGCAGCAACCATTGCATTAATCTTTGCACAGAAGTAAAGTGATGCTACAAAAAATATGCTGGATGTCCAAGCTGGATTCCAAAATGGAAGAACTAGGGAGCATATTGCAAATATGTGTTGGCTATTGGAGTGCACCGAAGAGTTTCAGGAGAAGATCAGCCTACTTTTACTGTGTGGATTATAAGGAGCTATGGAAGGTCCTGAACGAAATTGGAGAGCCTCAGCACTTGATTGTCCCGATGTGTAACCTGTATCACAGACAAGAAGCTACAGTTAGGACAGAATGCAAAGAAACAAAATTATTTCCCATGGGCAAAGTCGTCAGACAAGGTTGTAGCGTATCTCCCTATTTGTTCAGTCTGTACACAGAACACATTATGAGAATCCTCTGGATCAGAATCAGAGGAAAGAGTGAAAATTGGCAGAACCATCACTAGTTTAAGATATGTAGATAATGCTATACTACTGACAGAAAGAAGCAATGACTTGAAATGACTCCTGATAAATGTGGAAGAAGAAAGTACCAAAGCAGGGTAACAAAAGGTACCAACGTAGCAGCTGAATATTAAGAACACAGAAATCATGTGATACAGTAGTGACCCAGCCCACCATGGATTTTAATACACAGCAGATTACTTTGTTGTTAATAATGAAGAAATCAAAACTGTGAAAGATTTCACATATCTTGGCTCAGCCATCAATTCAAAGGGAGGCTGCAGCCAATAAATTTGAAGAAGACTGAGAATTGGAAGGGCAGGAATGAAGAAATCAGAAAAGATAATCAAGTTTAAGGATATTTCAGTGGAAACCAAGGCCAAGATCATCCATACTATTGTATTCCCAATCACAGTGTATGGATGTGAAAGCTGGACAGTGAAGAAGGCTTTCAAGAAATAAAATGATGTGTTTGAAACATGGTATTGGAAGAGAACTTTGGAAATACCCTGGACCAACAGAAAGACAAACACGTGGGACCTAGATCAAGAACTTTCTCTAGAAACAAATCTAAGGCTGTCATACTTTGTACACATCATGAGAAGGCAAGACTCACTGGAGAAGACAATCACAGGGAAAATCAAAGGCAGAAGCTGAAAGGGAAGACCAAATATGACATGGATTAAATCCATAAAGGAAGTCACAGCCTTGAATTTGGAGGAATTAAATAGAGCTGAGCTTAGAAAAGCTAAATGGATACTGCATTTTGGAGAGCTTTCATTCATAGGGTTGCCATGGGTTGAAGACGACTTGGTGTCATGTAACAACAACAAAATATCCATGCTGTGTCAGGCCCATGTACCATGAACCATGCATTTTTAACCAGTGAGGCTGATTCACCTGCCTGGTTGACTGGTGTGGAAACTGCTTTTTGCGAGGGCATTTCAACCAACTTTAGACCAGATGTACAATGTCCTCTTGCATCCATCACTATTATTTAAGGTACAGGTGGCCTCAGTCAGGAAGATTTTCCACCAGCTTAGATGGCTGGTACCAACTGCAGCCCTCTATGAACAAAGTTAGCCTGGTAATAGTGTAGCCTGATTTGGTAACCTCATGGTTGGATTACTGCAATGCACTGTATGTGGGGCTACAAACAGAAACTAGTCAATATGATCATGCAATGCCAGTTCTGGTTCAAGCACACTCATTACCAGCTTATTTATGAGAAAAAATTGAAATCTTTAAGGCTCTAATGGCTTGTTGTCTAAGGATTTAAGGAAGATTCTGACATTCTGATGTCTTCTTAAACAGATATTTTCACAGAAGCTTTCCCTGGAGCCATCCATGGATGTTAAAGTATGTGGGTTTATTGACTGATTAATCTGTACAGTATTGTTTTTAATGTTGCAATTATTGTTGTTTTGATGCCATTGTATTTTATGTTATGATTAGATACTTCCCTGTAAAATGGCATATACATCTGACTAATACAATTAAATAAAATAGTCAATAATCAATATTTCCACCCATGTATACCTGCTTGAACCTGTAGGTCAACCTCAGCAGCCTTCCTTTTATTTATATTTTATTTATTTATAGCATTTTTATGCCGTCCCCATTGCAGAAAGCCTCAGGGTGGCTTACAAAGAAGATAAACAACATAGAATAACATTAAAAATTCAGAGCATCTTAGCAATAGGTTAAAACTAATAAATAAAAACAACAATTAACAATTAAAATATCATTAAAAAAAAAAAGGTCTTAGCCTGGCGCCAAAAAAAAAATAACGACGGTGCCAGGTGGACCTCTCTGGGGAGTGCATTCCACAGGTGGGGCGCCACCTCAGAGAAAGCCCTCCTCCGAGTACTCACCCTCTTAATATCCTTCACAGAGGGCTCCCGGAGAAGGGCCTCCTCCGTCGATCTCAGGGGGTGGGAGGGCCTTTGGCTGTGTCTGCTGAAGAAATTCATGCGAACAGCTACAAGAGAGGGTCTTCTCAGTTGTGGCATCCTGTTTCTGGACTGACCTCCCTGAGGAGATTTGCCTGGCAGCTACATTGTTGTCTTCTGGTGCCAGGCAATGACCTTACCCCCCCTCCCCCACATTTTCGATTTTCTGAGCTGTTTTTGTTGTTGCATTGCATTATGTTGTGTTGCATGAAAGCCATACAAAGAATGGGTTTGGCCACAGCATGAAGAATTTCATCAGGAGGGCTTTAACCTGGATCCTACTGGGAGGTTCCTAGGGAGACGTGAACTTAGAGGCAACAGTGGATGAAGACTTGTGCACCATAACAGAGAAAAGAGCTCTAGTAGCATCTCAAAATAAGTCTTCAATTTAGGAAAGAAGCCAGGTCATAAAGCATATGAGCTTCAGTCTTTATACATCAATGCTCAGAGGCCTCTCCAAGGATTTTTCAATAATGTGGCCTCTCCAAGAATTTTTGACATGCACAGTCAATAACTTTCTCCTACACAAGTGGAGGAAGAAACTAGAGGATCAGAATCCTTAATATTGACTAATAGGGAGGACTTAGTGAATAAAGTGGAAGTTAAAAGAGTGATCACAACATACTTGAATTCTTGATTTTAAAGCAAGTAAAGACTGAGTATAGCCATACACATACTCTGAATGTTGTGAAAGCTGATTTTAAGAAACTCAGGACAATGTTAATTAAGGTCCTGTGGCAAGTGACCCTACAAAAAAAAGTATTTCAAGATGGATGGGTATTTTAAAAAGAGAAATTTTAAAGGCACAATTGCAAGCAATTCCAACAAAGTCCAAAGAAGGAAGGCACCAGAAGAAGCCAATGTGTCTCCATGGAAAGCTTCAAGTTGCCCTATAAAAATATTCATATAGGAAGTAGAAGGAAGACCGGGCTTCAAAAGAAGAGTATCGTCAGATAGCACAGAAGAGTAGGAAAGAGATCAGGATGGCTAAAGCTGAGAATGAGACTAGTAAGAGACACCAAAAGGGTTTATTTTTAAAGTTTCAGCTTCTCAGTGAGAAGGGCAAATTGGTATCAGATGAAAAGAAGAAGTGCAGATGACAAAAAGAAGGCTGAAGTGCTTAATTCCTACTTTGGCTCAGTCTTCTCTCAAAAGCAAGTCTATAACCCCCTTGGCAAAACTAAAATATAAAATGAAGGGGCAGTATTTGAAACTTGGGATTAATAAACAAATTGTTAAGGAACACTTAATTTATTTGAATGAGTTAAAATCTCCAAGGCCTGATGAACTCAATCCTAGAGACATAAAGGAGCTGGTGGAAGACTCTCAGAAACACACTGAGAAATCATGGCAGATGAGTGAAGTTCCAGATGACTGCAGGAGAGCTGATAGTTCCTATTTTCAAAAGGAGTATCCTGGAAATACAGACCTGTTAGTCTGACATCATCAGTTCTGGAACAGATAATAAAGAAGTCAGCAAAGAAGAAGCTGATCTGACCTGATCTCATTGTTTGACTGGGAACCTCCCTTGTGGACTGTGGGAATGCTGTGGACATAATATATCTCAACTTGAGTAAAACATTTGATTAAGTGTCTCATCACATTCTGATCAGCAACCTAAGTAAAAGTGGGCTGAATGGAACAACTATCTAGTGGATCCACAGCTGGCTACGAAATCTGACTCAAAAGTGCTTATCAATGGCACCTCTCAAACCGGAGAGAGGTACTATAGGGCTCAGTCCTTGGTAGGGTTGGGGTGAAACTCAATGGAAATCGTCCCTCTAGCATTTGCTCTCATGCATGGCCTAATTTTAAAAAGAAAGCTGAGCTGAGATAAGGTCTATGAAGGCTTGTGGAACAAAGGTTCTGCAACCAGCAACTCTCTTCCACATCGCGTGCAGCCGCACAAACAAAGGCTGCTGCATGTTGCACGGAAGTGGGACTCTGCTTGCCAAACTCCTTTCAGGAAGTTTGAAGGATATTTAAAATCATGATCATACAGCCATTTCACACACTACATTTTGAGTATATATAATTTAGAAGTGTTTTAAGGCTTGCGCCACAGGCTAAAGGTAAACTATAACTTTCATACTATTGTCTTCCCTGTGACATTATGTAGGGCATATCATCAGAAGTTCTATAAGTGCTTCATACGAATGGATGAATGATCCCTGAAGGACATACGAATGGATATATTCCCTTAAAGTAAAATAAAATACATACTTCATAATAGCAATACCTGTGTACTGTTGCAGTTGGCATTCAGTTAGGCCGTTAACACATGTGCATTGCTGCACTCTTCCTAGGTTTATCCTTGCCCAACTTTCTCCATTCTCAAAATATTCATAGAGGGTTGCATCAAAACATTTTCCTGTAATTCAGAAAGGCAGGGGGGCATAATATTTTTAATTCTGAAGTTACTCTGTTTTTCCATGTTTTAATGGAAGCATATTTCTAGATACAAATAACTGTCCCTGATAGATTTCTAATTTTCAAATAGCTGTCATCATCAAACAAGCTAGTCAAGAATACTGAGCAGTTCTACCACATCACCTGTATGCTGCCTTCTGCCACAGGGTCCCTGTCAGCAGACAGTCCTTTGCAGTCCCTGCCAAGAAGTTATATCACAGGCCTTGGAATCCTGGCAGTGATTGATAAGGTGGCCCCACTTAGTTCAAGGATAGGCAAATCCAGATGCTTTGGACTTCAATTCCCATGATGCCTGCCCATGGACATGCTGCAAGATTTAAGCCTTTTATGCCCAAAGATGCATTGAATTATGCCTTAAGTGACACAGCAGAACTGCAGCAAACTTCTTATAAAATTCCAAGGGATTTTGTCAAAATGTATAGGATTTTAATAACTTGATAGTATTTCTTATTCTCTCCATTGTAATCATTGCAATGATTGAGGTAGATCCCATGTATTCTTTATTATTATTCCTATTATTAATAATATTAATATTATTACATTACATCACACTTATTTCCCCTGCTTTCTTCCTCTTCCAAGGAACCTTCCAAGGTTTTCTTTATCTCCATGTTATCCTTACAATATATCCTCACAATTAAGTTAGGCTGAAAGTCCGTAAGTACCCCAAAGTTACCCAATGAGTTTCATGGCTGACTGTGAACTGCAACAGAGATCTAATAAGTACTAGCTCAGCACGCTTACCACTAGGTGACACAGGATCATCACCAGGTGGTTTTGTATTTTTGCTGGATTCCTATCTGGATCTGCTGGACAGGGCAAAGGCTCTGCCTGGCACCCTGCACCCAGGGCTGGTGAGGGACTTGAGGACTGGTGGGGAAGAGGTCTCTGGACACCTTCACATCTCTACAGCCCCCCACCCCATCCCCACGTTCCAACTGCCTGGCCATAACAGTTGCTGTTTGTGAATTATGTTTAGGGGAACAATCATTCAGCTGTTGCAGGCCAACAGGCAGTATGGCACTGGCAGGAGTAATTGTGAACAACAGACTAAATAGGAGCAAACAATGCAATGCAGCTGCAAAAAGGGTAAATGCTATTTTATTTATTTTTATTTTATTCATTTTATGTAGAACATTTTTATTTTTTGGAATGCATTAATAGAAGTATTAGTTCCAAATCATGAGCAGTAGTAGTTTCCCAATACTTCTCACTAGTCAGACCTCACCTGGAATACTGTGTCCAGTTCTGGGCACCAAGATTTAAGAAAGATGCAGGAAAATTAGAAAGGGTCCAGAGGAGAGCAACAAAAATGATCCAGGGTTTGGAAACACTGCGCTATGAGGAGAGACTGAGAGAACTAGACATGTTTAACGTCAAGAAGACTGAGGGGGAACATAAGTACCTCCCTCTATAAGTACTTTAAAGGTTGTCACAAAGAGGAAGGTCAAGTTCTCTTCTTGCTGATACCAGAGCGTAGGACATGGAATAGTCAATTCAAGATGCAACAATCCAGATTCAGGAAAAGCTTCCTCACTGTCAGAGCAATATGACAGTGGAACCAGCTGCCTAGCGAGGTGGTGGGCTCTCCCACACTAGAGACATTCAAGGCGAAACTGGGCAGCCATCTGAGTGGGATGGTGTAACTTGGTGTCAGGTGGGGGTTGGACCCAATGGCCTTCATGGCCCCTTCCAAATCTTCTATTCTATGATCCAGTGTCTTCCCATAATACAACTACAATAATTCATGATCTGGTTAGAGGTGAGGAGATCAGCCTGGCATGTCTGACAGACCTGGCTAGGAGACGATAGCAGTCCCATATGGACACAGACTCTCCCAGCTGGCCATTGTGTTGTGGAGCAGGTAAGGGAAAGTGGGAAAGCGGGTGACATGGCTACGATCTATAAAAATAACATCCAGGCAGCCTGTTAAGGAGCTGAAATACATCGAATGTGTGCATTCACAGTTCTCATCCAGAGACAGCCTGGGATTTCTTCTGGTATATAGGCCTCCTCTTTGCCTAGCAGAATCTCTGGCCAAACTCATGGAACTGGTCTCAGAATTGGTGCTGGATTCCCCCAGATTGAAATCCTGAGGGATTTCAATGTTGCTTTCAACTCCAGTTTGTCTGGTACTGCCCGTGAATTCATGTGGATCATGGCACCCACACATACTGCTGGGCACACTCTTGATGCTATGTGCAGCTCAGAACAGGTGGTTTTGAAGACAGAGGTTTCTGCATCCTCATTCTTGGCTTGGTCAGGTCCTTACCTGGTCAAGGCTAAGATAATAGCCCCCTTTTTGTGCCCCTGTAGAAATGATTGACCTATTACAATGGTCCACCCTTGAAGTCTTATGAATCCAATAGGTTACCAGACAGCCCTAGGGTTGTTGTTGTTTTTTTTTTTTTGGCCAGTTCTGCCAGTGATCCTGGAGTGTCCCTAGTCAAAACATGAAATCGTTAGTGGACTAGGGCCTTAGACATAATTGCTCATGAGCATCCTCTCCATTCTGCTTCCAAATGAGCTTTCTGCAATACAAAGGAGCTCCAGTGTACGAAGCAGCAAGAATGATGACTGGAGCACTAATGGCAGAAATCTAGACTGATCTTTGACAAAACACTTCATAAAGAACATCTTCATTTCTTTGAGGTGCCATACAAGCAGCAAGGAAGTGTTTTTGTCTCCACTCACATCATGTCTGCAAATTCATGTCCACCAGAGTAGTATAGGGTGGTAAGGGATTTGTCTCAAATCACAATGTCCCCTAAACTATCTTTCACAGTGATGCTTTTAACAACCATTTTGCAGATAAGATTTGTCAGGTAAATGCTGAGCTTGATGCGATCTTGGAAGTGGAGATTGACACAGAAGGATGGGGTTATCCTGGATCAATTTCAGTTTGTAAGTCCTGATGATGTTGGCAGGCTGCTTGGACTAATGAGAAAAAGCACCTGCCTTCTCAGACTGTATCCATTTTGGCGGGTAATCCAAGGGATGGAAGCATTGAGGGAGCTATTATGTTTTATCATCAAAGCCTCCTTCAGAAAGTGTAGGGTTTCTGCCTGCCTGAAAGAGGCTATTGTACAGCTCCACCTCAAGAAATCTAATTTGAACCCACTGGACCTTAACTTTAGACCAATCTCAAACATACCATGATAGAAAGGGCAGCTCCAGAGTGATGCTGATTTTCTGGAGCCGTTTCAAACTGGCTTCAGAGTGGAACATGGAATTGAAACTGCTTTGCTCTCTTCAGTGGATGATCATACTGCTTATAATTGACAGGAGGAGTGAGTCCCTGTTGGTTATGTTGGATCTCTCAGCAACCTTCGATACTATTGATCATACTATCCTTCTGGATTGTCCGAGATTGATGGGAACAGAAGCACTGCTTTGAAGTAGTTCCATTCCTACCTCTTAGTTCCGGATGGTGATACTTGGAGACTGTTGCTCCTCTAAGAAGGGGCTGACTTGGGGAATTGCAATTAGTACAAAGTAGGGCAGCCAGACCAGTCTCTGGACATCATGGAGACACCACATGTCTCCTACTTTAAAGTCTTTCCACTGGTTGCCAATATGCTTCCAGATACAGTACAAGATGTTGGTACTTATTTTTAAAGCCTTTCATGGCTTGGGTCCAAAATACCTTCAGAAGCACCTTTGCCCATACATTCCATCTTGCCAGTCAAGGTCCTCTGGGGATCATCTTCTGAAGTCTGCTTCATAAAATTAATGTCAACTACTCCAAGGACTTTTGCAGTGGTTGCCCCTAAGCTGAGGAATGGTCTGCCAGGAGACATGCATCTGATTTCCCAGAGTTCCATCTTTGAGAAAGTTAAAAACGTCTTATATTTGTGATTAATAAAAAGATATAAACATACATTGGAGACCAGTGTAGCTTTCAGCCTCAATACATACTTCCAATAAATGTTGGTGGGTGGGGCGGGTGGGGCAGATGGAGCTCTTTTCCTGCTGGGCACACACTGGACATTGTGCCCCGAGAGACTGGCCCCCTGCCCCTCATTGTGCCGACCTGCACTGTCAAGCACAACGTGGGGACAGAGACACCGCCACTGTCATCTGTGCTGCGGAAGAGACTCCACACTCCCGCCCTCGCTCCCTTCGCCTCAGTAGGCACAGGTGAGAGCTGTGCTGTGGAGGGGGTGGAGCTGCTGCAGAGGGTGGGGCAGACAGAGCGCTTTTGCTGCCGGGCAGCCCAGGGACCCCTGGGAGACTCATGCCAGACATTGCACCGGCGGCCAAAAGGCGATGGCCAAAGGTCAGTGCGCTGCCATCTGGGGCCACAAGGGATTGGGCTGGGCCAGGGATTCTGCCTTTTTGTTCTTTTTTTTTTTCTTTCTTTCTCCCTTCCCCTTTCCCTTCTTCTTTTGAGTGACGGTGGTTTATTTGGTTTTAACTTGGGATGGTTTTACCTGGGAGTATGAGGGCGCCACCATTGGGGTTGTGCTGGGCAGGGGGAGGTATGGCATTGGGGGGTCTAACTGGCCAGCATGAGAGAAGGAGGGACCGATGTTTGATACCAGTGCCCTCTTCTGGCTACTCCCCCAACCAGAAGGATCCTGGCAGCAATGTCAGCTGCCCCCTCGGCCTGACAGTGTTGCTGTTGAATGCCAGGTCGGTCCATAACAAGACGTCCCTCATTCATGACTTGATCTTGGATGAGGGGGCTGACCTGGTATGTATTACCTGGGCGGGTGAAGGGAGAGATGTCTCCCTCACGCAATTATGCCCACCCGGATACTTGGTACAACACTGATCACGCCGGGAGGGGAGGGGAGGGAAGTTGCATTAATTCACCAAGCTGACATTCCCCTCATGGGACTTCCTGTCCCTTCAAGGCCAGGTCTTGCGTATTTGTATCTGACGTTGGGCGATCGAGACAGATTAGGGACTCTGCTGGTGTACCATGCACCCTCCTGC